TAGCAATGAATTATGCTTTGTTCACCTGGCATACATACTCTCTGCACAAGTTCCGAATATAAACAGAACACACTTAGTTATGTGATAAAGGAAAAAATTAAGGTGAATAGCAAATCACCAAAAGGCTAAAAAATATATGTAGCACTAGAAAAAGACATTATGCGTACTATCATTTTAGTAGCCCTTGATGTTTATGCAAGCAACATTAAAATAAAAATCTATGATTAATAATATATACACATAAGTGAAAATATGGAATTCTAAAAATTCAAAAATATGCCTAATATAAAAATAAAGTACTCGAAATAACACCTATAACATGTACGAGTTTCATCACCCACACGCACTGAGTTTAAATGAAATAGAGTACAACTTGGAAAAGCGCATTCCGTTTTAAAGATACTATTTTTATTTTTAGAGTTTCAGCTTGAAAACAAACCTTTCTATGCTAAAACAACTATACACAATTTTGAGTTAACAATACTAACTTTTGATTAAGACCTTATTTATACGGTTTGTTTTTTTTGATTTACACGTTCATATATAAGCACATAATAGTAGGGATACCGTTTTAGCTAATATATGTTTATTTATATTTCTTTTATTCATTTCCAAATGTACACCTTTTGATGCCCAATCCTAATTAGTGTTTAAGCAATTAAATTCGTTATATTTTTTATTTAATAACTTCCGGAATCTAAAACGTGTAAGCAAAAAGAAGAAATTATGTAGATAATAAAAAATACGTATTATCACACCAATGAAAATAAATTTAAACAGTAGTAGCAAAGTAAAAGGTTAAGCAACCCAATTTATGTAGATAAGACTAGATAATTATTTTTCTCTATCTATTCTACCAACATTTGACGTATTAATCATGTCCATGTGATGCTTTTTTTTCTGAGCTGGTAAAACTGCTACGAGTGAATTGGTTAGACGACGTTTTGCCCCATCACGTCTGAAGGATACATCCAATGCGGTGTTAATCACCGAAAGGGTATTCTTGCCAAATAATTTACCACTAGTGGTACTCTCGAGGGCGCTGAGTGAGTTGTCATTAGGTGTCATCAGGGCATTCGCCGTATCTGACCGTGTTAGATCAAAAAACTCTAGTACGTCTTCCTCCGTGTGGATATCGAAGATTGGAGAGAGCCCTCGAGATTTCTGAAGCGTCGTGGTGGACTGACTTAATATTCTGGGTTGTGTGTTACTCTCCGCTATGCATCCAATGTTTGTATTCGTCATAAATTCGTGCGGGTGAGGCAATATATTCAAATAATATGGTAATTGGCAAATAGGATCTCTTCCTGCACTAGGCTTTGAAAAAGTCACCTTGTCAAGACTTCCTAACAGCCTGTTAGGGGTAGTTCGGTTCTCCTGTATAGCGAACGATATGCGTTCAAACGCTTTGCGGGTATTTCTTTGAGTTTCTGTAGTGAAAGAGCATTCAACAGACTCGTCAAGTCGAAGGGGACGACTTGGGGTTATCCCATCCTTTTTCACATCATCCCTACGTAGCGTGTGCAAAGTTTGCGGTGGAGTTCCAAAACAGCTCTCCAATCGCGAACAATGAGGCAAACAAGTGCATGGGGTGGAGCATCCTAGCGTATTACATTTGGTCGAGTGGTTATAGTAGCTTCTGGCTGTTGGCAGAATTTTGGAGGGTTGGGTCTCAGATGTTTTGTAAGTGCCGCAGTTTATCGGACAGGAATAGGTAACCGATGGGGCTACACATTCCTCCTGTATGACTGGATTAACAGTACCAATGATCGGTTTATCGCATTCCAATATATTCTTATTCAGATAGACGCGATGCAATCCGTTTGGCTCACCGGCCATCTCAGTGCACTGGATGCACAGATTCTATGCAACCAGAATTGCACTAGTGGGTTAGTGCAACTGTTTAGTGTTATAGGTTAAGATGCTTTTCAGCTGAAGTTAGTTAAAGTAATAAGTGGAGAAAAAGATCACCACAAAATCACTCGAAATGAAAATATATTAAGATTTAGTGTTTCTATATTTAATACGAATAAAACATGCTATATTAAAACCCAAATATGCAAATTCAAATGAGACAAATATGAATTAAAATGAGGGTAAAAGTTGAAAGAACAATTTTGATAAAAGGGTTAGCTATATTAAATGTACATTTTTTATGATAGATACAATAATATATGTTTCAATTTTTACTAAGTATTAAGTATTATTCATTTGTTTAATAATTGACCTTTTTAAACAAATATGATATATATAATTCGTGTTACAACATGTAGACAAAGGTCACTGTTCGATTTTTAAATTGTATGACTAAATTTATTTATTTCTTTTTCTCTGAAAATTCGTGTGCTGAAATCAGGATATAAATAAATAATAATAAGACATGCCGAGTAGCTTTTATTGTGCAAGCTTATCAATACTATACCATATACTTAAAAAAAGCATGGATTGTTTTTCAGTCAAGCAAAAATGTAAAAAATTATTCGTTTCAACTTATAACACCGATAACATTTTATCTGCCACTTCAGCAGCTTTTAGAAGAACCCCATCCACCTTTGAAGCCTCTAGGCCCGCCTGTGCCATACGTGGCTTCCCACCGCCTTTGCCAATTGCGGTTTTGGCCCATTCAACTGCGCTGAGCTTCTTATCCACAAACTCGGACGGCATGGTAACCAACACCAAGGCCCTCTGGTTATCACTGGACAAGAGAAAAAGACCGGCAGGCTTTGTAGCATTGGAATTGAACCCGTCTGCGAACGCCTGTAAAGAGTCACGATCCACTCCATAGTGCTTCAGGTGTTTAATTAGGAAAGGTGAGGTGAGGGCTTCAGGGCTTTCAGCGAGCTCCCTTCCATCGTTGGAGGCCTTTTGATTCAGTTTTGCGGCTTGGGACTTGAGTATTGCATTAAG